CGCGTTGTTATTTTATTTTTATATTTATGATATTTAGATTTAGATAATCACTATTTAATTACAAAGTATATTCAGTTTTTTGCTAAAAGTAGAGTCAAACATTTTTAACACTAGGCTTTTGATTGATCTATAAACTTAAATTTTAATTAATTAGCACAAATATCAATTCAACACACATCTTATATGCTATTAATCTTCATTATACTAGAAAATGAGAAGTTGTTAGAATAATATTTGGTGACTTCATTATACATACGTACTTCTGTTACTCAATAATAGTTCATATTAGTTATTTTTAAATTAAAAAAATATTATATTTTAGATAATGCGCAGATACATATATTAGTATTTTAAAAATTATAAGTATTTGAGAAAATTTTAAATGCAAGACAAAGAAAATAAGAAGATTTTTCTTATATTTCAAAATAGGACATATATACACATGATAACGCATGTATATCACCAAAACTATTTCAATTAAATTGTACTTTCACGTTCTCACATAAGATGCAAAGAAATATAAAAAAATAAAGTTTAGGTGGTACTTTAGATGTTTTTAATTACTTTGTCATTTTGAATTGACAGACCTATTAAGAAAACAATAATTGACATAGTGAGTTTACCATTTTATCTCTATTAAATATGTAGTGTATGAATTAAAATTTTAGAGATTTTCTAAAAGTTTTACTATAACCACCCGCTAGGTCTTTTAGAAAACTAGGACTATTTTAATTTTTTTTGTAGAGTTTAAAGATAAATTTTGGAAATATTCAGCAACTACAAGTATTTAGTTGATACATATATATTATATAATTAATTTATTTAAATAGTAATGGGTTAAATCCATTTTTTTAATTTAATAATATTTATCATTTGACCCATATATAATTTAAATAGATTAATAATTTTTTTCAGAAAAGAAAATAAGGGTTAGAAACTACCTTGTGCGGCGACGACAGGAACCAAACTAAATTGCTACAGTGACCACATTGATTTCCAGGTAAACCAATTCAAATTTATTTATGTCTGTATATTTAATTGTAGGATGCACTTATACTTATTCAATAAAATAATTTTAATACAATATTAAGTGAATAGATAATGCAATTAAGTTTTATAATGCCCACTGTATATGATTGGATGATTTTGATACTAGGAGGTATAGGTGAAAATTTTATTAGATTGAACAAAAGGAATAATCTATTGTGGACAGTCGTTGTTCGATGTGGTCCTTGGGGTATAGTGTAAGTATTATTTTTCTTAGTTAATTACTAGGAATGATTAATTAGGAGGGGATGAAAAGTGATAGAAAAGGGAGAACTTTGACCCATTGGTTCTGAGGTTGCTGCTTCTGGTTTTGTAACCAGTGGCTCCAGTTTAATTTGTTTAGTTGTTTCTTATATTATCAACTTAGTTATTAATATATTAAGATAGATAATTAAATATTAATATATAATTAGCATTGCATTTGAGAAACCTGGAGAGTTTGAGACTTAAAAATAGACTTCATTTTTAGGATGTATAAGACGTGACATATTGGTTGGCACCACAATTATGAGCTTGAATTATAGTAATTTGATGAGTTAGTGGTTTAGGTTAGAAGTGTAGTAATATAAGTGTTTATGAACTCGATAACTTACAAATACTGCATAATTGGTAGATTGAGAAAGCTCCGAAGCTTTGCAAAAAGGGAAGGAAAAATCTTGAGAATTGTGGCACGTGTTCGACACTCAAGGTATGTTAAGACTTTCAAACTTGTTGAAGGACGTTTTCCTAATTAAAGATTAAAAAATGAAATAGACAATGGGTAAGTGTGAAAGATGGGGGTCTCGTACCAATGGTGTGACAAGCATTAGTACGAGTACCGGTGATATAAAAGAAAAGTTTATTACTATAGTAGGCAGATGGAATTCGAGAATGCCAAAGCATATGGTTATTAGTTGATGTATTATTTAATTGAATTCCTTGTGATTATGTTTCTTATTTAATCTGCATTGAGGTGGTTGTTTATTATGCTGATATTTGATTGATCGGGATGCATCATCATCCCCTTTATTAAAATAATATTGCAGATGCATTGACATGAGATTGAGTATAAGTTGGGCACGTGGAGATCTTCCGTGCCGGGGATGGTGAGATGTTAAAATTATAATTTGGGCACGTGGAGATCGTCCGTGCGGAAATTATTTGATTTTATGATAGTGCGTGAGATCGTCCCCACGGACACGTGGAGATCGTCTGTGTCGGTATATGGACGCCATGAGTCACCCATGGGTCATGAACTCTCGATGTATTTTCGAGGAGAATCATGCATATACGGTTGAGAGAGTACTAGGTATTGTGAGGCATATCATTTCATGGTGTCATATAGCATTGCATCTCATGATATCCTTCATTATTGATGATTGTGTGTTGTTATTGGCGGTTGGACAGTACTTGATATTTGATTTTCTATATTTGATGAAATCTGATCGGTAAGTGTAATATAGACTTGTATAATTAAAAAATTGATTTTTCTTATATAAACTCGTCACTACTTCTTCGTTGTTAGTCAATGAGATATACTGGGTACACCTGATTTCATACTCATATTACAGTTGTTGCACTCTTTGTGGTGCAAATTGAATTCCGAGTACGATAACATCTCGTGGAGCATTTTGAGTCCGAGCTTAGAGTGTCTTGGAGTTATGGTGAGCTGCTTGGTTGTTTCGTGGTCCACACCTCCCTCCATCTTTCATTTATACTGTTACTTTAGTATTCAGACGGAATATTCCTTATGTTTGGAATTGACATTTTAGTTTCAAACTTGCATCATATTTAGGAGCTCTTGTACTTATGACACCATTTTGAATGGTATTTTTAGTTTTCTGCATTTCGTAATTGTAAAGAACTTAGTGTTGAAGATTTTCACTTAGTGTTTACCTTTTAATCATTAGTTAATTAAAATTGATAAAATATGTTGGATTGGCTTACCTATTGATTGGATACATAGGTGCCATCAAGACTTGTAAATTTGGATCGTGACAACTACCTTTTTCATTAGTTGAGGGTATAATAGGTAAAAAATGTCCTTCTTGATTTGTCAAAATGGACAACTAATTAGAGACAACTATAAAAGAAAAAGTGTACAATAATTAGGGACAGAGGGAGTAATAGGACCTCTATAAAATAGAAGGTGTCCATGATATTTCAGTTATAGTTGAATGAATACTCATGCATTTTGCTAAATTTTAAGAAAATCAAAAATTAAAAGAAAAAGGACATAAAGTCACTAGTGAAGTTATCCTGAATTTTCAAAATGGTTCCTTAACTTTGTAATAGTCCTATTACCCCACTAAATAATTTTGAGCAGATATTTTATTATATCATTTTTCATCCACCTGACATGGAAAGTGGTTTGCTCACTCTCAAAGAGAGTGAACAACCTAAAATAACTAATATAATTTTATTTCTACAATTTTTATTATAAAATATATTTTCTTATTATTTTCAATATTTTTCCTGAGAAAAGGGTCAAATGCCCCCTCAAGCTTTGGTCATATTTCTAACTACACACTTAACCTTTGTGGGGGCCCTATTACCTCCTGAACATTATATATATATATATATATATATACACACACACACACCCTCAAACGCTGACGTGGTCACATATGTGAACTCACATCCGTGTGGCGCGTAAGAACGTGATAAAATGTCCATGTGGAGTCCAAATAAGCCTCCCAATGGTAACTTTACTCTTTATTTAATCATACATTTATTTATTTTTATTTTTTTTCACTTTGTTCTTCATCCACCATCGTTCTTTGTTCATCTTGAACAAAAGCTCCCTTCTTCTTTGTTCTTCATCCACCATTGTTCTTCATCAACCATTTTTTTATTAGCAATCATTTTCGTAACTTCTTCAACTAAGATTGAAGTTAGGGTTTTCAATTTTGTCGAATTTTAGCTTGATTCCCCCCCCCTAGTTCGACAAATTATTTTTTTTTGTTATTAGGGTTAGTAATGTCTAACGTGAAATTGAATAAGCTATGGATGGAAGAATCAGACCCGATGCTCAAAACCTTAGTAAGATGCAAACATGGAAATTTGTTGCATATGCAGACTTCTTGGTCGAAGTCGAGTCCCGGTAGACAATTTGGGTCATGCCCCTAGTATGGTATATGTTACTTTTCTTCAGTTATTTGATTTTGTTTAACTGATGTGAATGTTAATAACATAATATATTATTTTTATTTTTTCAATCGAACAATTGAATTTTTTTTTATGGAGAGATAGAGAGGAAATCGATCTAAAATCATCCTCCCAAAATTGGTGAACAAAATCAAAGAGTTGGAAGATGAAGTTTGGAAGAGACAGATTCAAATCAATGAACAACAAGTTCTGATTGATAATTTGACAGGAGAGAAGAGGTTCAAACGAAGAAATTTGAAATGGTGTACGTTTGATTGGAAGGTTATTTTATGTATTTTGATTTGTGTTGTAGCCTTGTTCATGAACAGCCTATTTCAAAGTAGGGTTCTTTCAAGTATTGAAGTAATTGAATTGTCATAGCGTATGTCAGTAGTTAGTAGTGAAAGGATTTGAAAATCTATATTGATTGTCTTATGTATTATGAGAAATTTTTTATATCAATATCATTAATCTTTTCGATTGTAAACATGTCTTTAGTAGACATAACACCATTTTTAAGAGTGTCTATACTACAACAAATAAGTATAAGCATAACACAATTTGTAAGAGAAATGACCTTTAATAGACATAATCGATTGTAAAATAGGCCTCACACAATGTCAAATTACAATAAAAGATCAAAACAAAAACATAATTTGATGTTCAATACTAGTACATCATCATTAAAAATGGGAAATGTTTTCTTGCCTACTTAAAACAGTCCTGCAATATCATTACTTCCTAGATTGGATTGGTTGAACTACTTCTTCTTGATTTTCTCTGTTCCCCTCTCATTTGTTGAAGTTTTCTTGTTGTGATTGCTACTTTTCCATTCCATTTCAACTTGGGTGCAGTACTTGATTTGTTACCAATATCACCAATAACATCAGCAGATTTTGTCACCTTTGTTGAACCAGTAGAGAAAATCTTACAACTTGACATCCGAGGCTGTATTCAAAGTATGAAATAATACTGACTGAAATTGTATTTAAACATTAAAAAATAGTATAACTGAATCAATAGAAAACACTTACATTAAGAGCATTGAATCCATCTTTAGCTTGAAACACACCCATTCCAATGACTGCTTGCCTTTTGTATGAGGTTGTGTTCCCCTACCCCTTCGTCTTCCTTTGTTACTATTATTTGGCGATGGACATGTAAAAGGTGCACTAGGTGTTACAGGTGGTCTTCCTCTTGCACTCTTTGCATGTGTTGCAGATGCATTAGGTGCACTAGGCATGGCAGGTGATCTTCCTCTTGCGCCTTTTGTAGGTTCTGTAGATGCACTAAGTCCTGGAGATGCACTAGGTGCAGAAGGTGGCCTTCCTCTTGATCTCTTTGCAGGTCCTGGAGATGCATTAGGTGTTGCAACAGATGGTCTTCCTCTTGAACTCTTTGCAGGTCCTGGAGATGCACTAGGTTTTGTATGTGGTCTTCCTCTTGACCTATTTGTAGAATGCTTAGCTTCTGTTTGTGCTTTCTATATACATATAGTTAAAATAAATATAATTATTACATATGAGAGTACTATCACATACCAAATTAAAGTTAAAAATTTTACCTTTGATCTGCCTAAACCTGAAGTTTTGCGCTTTTCATTGTCTGTATTTGATGGTTCTTCCAATGCTAATGACTCAACCCTTTGTGGACGTCCTCTCTAGTTGTGGCCTAAACATTATAGTTACTACATGTCATGGCAAGTCAAGTTCTAGGTAGCTTTTCAGATTTTTTACTTTTACCAGCTTCCTTCTTTCTAAGTTTACCTGTCCTGCCAAGCATGCTTTTTATTTCAGGTGGTGCAACTGTGGGTTTAGTAGATTCAGGTCACATCTCCATGTTTGTGACAAGTTGAAGGATATTGGCATAAGTCTTAAAGTAAGTTGCTTTACTATAACATTTGTCAATGTAGTGAAGGGGTTCATCTTTCTTAAAGTAAATGGCAGTCACAACATGTGCACATGGTATGTCTTTTAACTGCCATACCCTACAACTACAAATCCACCTACCAAGATCCACACTATGTTGAAATGGTCCTTTTCTCACTTCAAACCCATCAACTCCATTAAATTCAGTATTACAATTCATTGACCTATCAATATTCTCTTGTAGTACCTTTAGACACATTGGAGAAAAATCACACATCCAATTATTTGTGAACTCTCTTAACTTGGCTATTCTGGTCATCATTTTTACTCTTATATCTTCAAGCATAGTGATAATTGTGTGCCTAGGTGTCAAGATCCATGAATTAAAGCACTCAGACAAATTGTTATCTACAGAATCACATTTTACTTGAGTATTAAAGTAAACCTTACACCAGAACTCTATGTTGTAGTACATAAGATAATCCATCATTTTTTCTTGACCAAGAAACTCTATTTTTGCAACATTTTTCCTCAATTGAGATTCAAAGGTACTCTTTGCAATAGATCAAAATTGTTGTCTTCTTTGTAGACCTCTCCAGTCCTTAGCCCAGTTAGCTAAGATGTGTCTAGCACACATTTTATGTTCAGCAATAGGTAAAAAATTTTGAATTGCTCCTATTAATCCCTGTAATAGATCTAGATATGTTATAATAACAAATATATGAAAATTGATAAAGACAAATACAAAATGAAAAACAGTACATATACCTTTTGCATATCTGTAATGGGGGTAAGATTTTTACCATCTCCTTGTCCTAGATCATCCTTCAAAAGTTTAATATACCATGTCCATGTCTTTTTTTTTCATACTCAACTACTGCCCAACAAGTGGCAGCATCTTGTTATTACCATCTCTGGCCACAGCAACTGACAATTGTCCTCTACAAACCCCTTTAAGGAAACAACCATCTAAACCTATGAATTTTCTGTAATTTTGGAATGCCTTTTTCAATGGATCAAAACATATGTAAAAGCTCTGATATACTGGCCTACTAAGAGCATCAAGTTCACCAAGTTTAACAACACAAGTGCTCCTTGGATTGGTCCTCAACAGTTCATCTTTATAGTCAAGAATTTTCCCAAATTTCACAACATGATCACCCATGATTTCTTTCAATACTTTAGCTCTTGCCCTCCTAACAGTAGTCTTGGCAACATGAATTTTAAACTTTTTCCTTATCAACTCTTGCAACTTAAAAACTCATATATTTGGCTGCTCATTAATCCTCTTCCTAAAATGTGTAGCTATGAACTTTGCATTACACAAATAGTTTCTAGTTGTGCTGTTACAATTATGCTTTGGATTGTAAGTCTTTATCATGAAATCATTTGTTGTTTTGTCAAGAAATGCAAATAAAAGCCATGGACAACCTTCCATGCACCTACATCTAACTCTTTTTGGCTCATTCACACACTTTTCTATTTGAACTCTCCTTTGGACATCATGTTTACTTACTGCTCTTCTAAATTCATTCACATCTGCAAAAACCATACCCAACTGCCATACAACATTCTTGGCATTAGGATCATGTATAATTTTTTGATTATTTGGCCTCATTCTTCTTGGTAACTTTAACTTCTTGGTAAATTTACTCTTTCAGATTCAACACGTTCATCACTAAATTCACCTTCATCTATTTCAAAACTTTCATCATCAGAACTTGCAAAATAAGGCTCATCACCTCCTAATCATCCTTCAACACTTACTTTACCTGTTTGAGTTTCATCAAAATCTAAATCTTGTCCAGCTTCACCTACTGGTACCTCTTCATTATCAGTTGGTACTCTCTCTTTTCTTTTTCTTCTTTGAAAATATCTCTTTTCAGCCGTCAACTCCCTAACCTCTTCATGTACATCACTACCATAGTCCTCCTCCTCATCTCCCACAAATCCACATTCAGACTCAGAACTATCTTCTGTTGAGTAATCAAAACCCTCTTCTTCTAAGAAATAAGATTCAACAGGGCCTAAAACTAGATCATCAACATCTTCAGTGACAACCTTAGTTGTGGAAGGAGATCTAGGAGGAGCA